CAAATATAGTCGGGTTCTTTTTTCAAAACCAAACCAAGTCAAACCAAACCACTAGTCGGGTTTTTTTTCTGGGTTGACTCGGTTTGCGGTTTGGTTCGGTTTTCGATTCAATTTTGTACACCCCTACCTAGGAGCCAACAGTGGAGGAGCCAGGATTTTCGTGGAGGGGGTTCAACTTATAAGAAGTAAATAAGAAAATGGAGCAAAACAGATCGGGAAAGAAAAAAATTATCCTTAATCCATTAAATATAACTTGCCTTGTCATGCCACATTTAGCGTTTCTTCCTACTTTTACTATGCTTCATTGATTCTTTTTTTTTAAATGATTTTTTTCTTTAATTTTTTATTATTTTACTTTATTTTGAATTTTTAAAATAAATTAAATTAGTGTTCATTCAATCATATGTTACTTTAAAAATTGTTTAATACTCTTTAAAATGTGTGGGGATTGAGTTACTAATATTATAATGCATATTAAAAGGATAAATAAATGGCATCGCCAATTTTTTGTTCATTTATTCAATTTATAAGGTTTTCCATTGGTAAAAAAAATGAATAAATCATATCAATGTAGTTTACGTCTCTCTAGAATAGAACTGAAAAAATGAGAAAGAAATATGATGAATAATCATGTCTTTCAAATTTATTCGTTCGATTAAGTTTAACTTATCTTTAAAGTTTTTTTTCTCTATCTCAATTTCAAGTTTAAGAATAATTGACAGTTTTAAAAAAAAGTTCCTTTTAATTAGTATATAAAAAGAGAGTTACGTAAAAATAAAATGAGCAATGGAGACAAAAATAATAAAATACAAAATGAAAATAATGTGCCTTAGAAATTCGAAAAAATGAATATTGAAAAGGAGAAATAACATTAAAAAATGAAAAAAAAAAACAATAAAGCTCCAGCCCAAAAATGTTGAGCCCATCTCAGCCTTGCTATTTGATTTTCCAAATGAAGAAAACAAGAAAATTTTTAGGAAAGTGATGTTGCGCAGAATCGAACCCATGACGTCCAAGCGAATTCTTGAACCCCCTTTACCACTGAGCTAGCCTCTTTACATGTGTTTAGGGGGTTCATTTTAATATATACACACATAAAAACAAAATTTGACCTTATATATACTGTGTAATTTTTCGACGAGGGGGGTCGGTTGACCCCCCTAACCTTCATGTAGATCCGCCCCTGGAGCCAAGCAACACCTATGCTTTAGCCGAGTTTGAGGACAAATTCTTTAGTTATTGATAGTGTTGAGTCATGTTATTGCATTTTGAGTAACCATTATGATTAGTAATCGCATGTTGGGAATCAAGAGAAAAAGGGCAGAAGGAGTTCAAGAAAAATCGAATCTACAGATCTTGTCCGCATCACGGACCTAGAGCCTAGTTTTCTTTTGTCTTTTCCTAAATTATAAATAGATTGGGATTTTATTAGTTTAATTATTCTTTTTCTGGCTTTTGGAGAATACAACTTGGAGAACTATTTCTTAAATTTTAGGGTTCATTCCTACTCTTTAACTTTAATTTGATTTCTCTTATGCTTATTGAATATTTATAGATTGAGAATCGTATTATGAGTAGCTAAATTCTCTTGTTCTAGGGCTGTGGCTACAAGAATATTGTATATTATTGAATTTGATGGATTGATATTGGTTATCGGATCAATTACTCTTTTGTTCTAAATTTCGTGGTTCGTGACCTCCTTTGAAATAAACTCATTGTTCGAATTAAACTCGGGGGAGGAATAGGAGGATAGAACGTGGGACAAAAGGCGCATGATCTTCTCTAGACTTAGGATTGATTTGTATCTAAGATAGGGATATACCTAGAGACCTTGCTTGGTTAGCAGACAGGATGAAAACGTAATGCTCGGTAATTGGTTAGTTTATGCCCGCTCAAGCAGTGGTGGACCCAGGATTTTTGCTCAGGCGGTTCAAAGTATAAAGGAGAAGTTCAGGTGGTAATGTAAGTGCGCGGTGAGCATAGTAGTCCATCGGCATGCTCTTTGTACAAGAACCATAGATATTTTATTAGTTCATAAAAGTAAAGACTAAACTAATCAAAGATATTGAGGACAAAGATACATTTATAAGAATTTTAGTGGATCGACTGTATTACATAGGTTAACTCCTAAAACAAGTGAAAATTAAATGATGAAAAAGGGAGCAAGACGGGGAAGAAAGATATTTACCTTATCATGCTAAATTTAACTTACTTTATCATACCGTATTAATCATTTCTTTCTACTTTTATCATGCTCCATCGAGCATTCTTAAAATTTCTTGTGCTTTTTATACTTTCATTTTTACTTTTTAAAAATTTTAAATTAGCATCCATTCAATCACATATTACTATGAAAATCGTCAAGATTCTCTAAGAGTGTGTAAGAATAGAGTTACTAAAATTATAATGCATAGTCAGAAGATAAATAAATAGTATCGTCAATTTTTTAGTTCATATAGTTCAATTTACTAGGTTAGTCATAATTTGTAAAAAAGACAAATAACGAATAAATCAAATACGTTTAGTTTCCATCTCTCTAAAATAGAATTAAAAATATAAAAGAAATTTCATGAATTCTATAAATTAATATTTTTGAAAGGATGTTGACGATATTTAAGTTTCTTCATTCAATTACATCTAATTTACCTTTTTTTTACAAAAAAATTAATTATATTTCTATCTCATCAATTTCTAGTTAAATAAAATTCAACATTTTTTAAAAGAGTTATTTAAGTTAGTATATGAAAAAAGAGTTACGTTGAAACAAAATAAATAATAGATATAAATAGAATAAAAAATAAAAATAAAATGTGTCTAATAAATTTAAAGAAAAACAAATTAAAAAGAAGAAACGGAATAAAAGGAAAAAATAATGAAAAAGAAGAAGAAAGTCTAATCCCAAAAAGTTCCATTTTCCAAAGCATTTAAAGGAGGGAAAAAATGTTGTCAATGGGAATCGAACTCACGACCAAGGGCATTTGTTGAACCACTTATCTGCTGAGCCAAGGCACTACTTTGATTTTAGGGGGTTCATTTTAATATATATACGCATAAAATCAGAATTTGACGTTATATATACAGTGTAATTTTTTGATGAGGGGGTTCGAGTGAACCCCTCGGGTCAACGTAGGTCCGCCCCTGTGCTCAATGATGTAGTTAGACTACCAATTAAAGTAGGCGATTAGAAGTCGGGAGACCATGATCATACATTTAATTCCGTAAACCAGTGATTTAACTAACTGACATCCATTAAAGGAATTAATATGCATGAATCCAATACAGGCTGCAACCTTGGAGTTTCCCAAGTCAATATTTTAACTCCAAGTTGAAATTGAATCATGGTAGTTTGCTTAGTTACTTTAATTAATTGATTATTTAGAATAATATATCACTCTTTCGGGAAACACTTGCTTTAAGTTATAGTTATTGGAAGAATCAAAGATAATCTAATCTTAAGTCTCTGTGGGTACGACATTCAGCTCTTAAAATGAGCTACTTCATTACTTCCACGACCACATACACTTGCGTGTGCGTTTGGGCGCAACACAAAGCTTTAACGATTTAAACCTATAGACATCATTAGTTTGCACGAGCAAGTCTTCAGTTGCTGAAAATGAAAGCTTCCTTGGAGTTGTGAAAAATTAGTCTTTGCTCAAGTCGCATCCCCTTGTATAGATGGAGTGAAAGAAGCAACCTTAACCTCCTGCTATTGGTCCAGGCAAACAGGCCTTTCTGTAGTTCTGCTGTAACGCTGCCACGGAGCTATCAGTACCGCTGGAGAGTTGACTTTGCATCATAACGATGTACATACCAAGTTCCTTATAGTGGGTTTGTCATACATCAAAATTGAGAGTGCATCATGCTTCAAATTACTTGACCAAGAATTCAACATATTGTAGGTAACCAGTGTCTAAGTTCCTCTGCACTCTTTCAATCGCTTGTCTTGTTACCTAATATTGTTAACAGTATATTTGAGACTTGCTTGCTTTTGATTTTTCTTTCAAGATGCTTGTAGTTATTAGACTAGAGTGGCACTCTATTGGCCAGAAGATGCTTTTATGCGCGGAGATATTCACCTTCTCTAGTTACTTTAGCCTAAACTTTGATATTTTTGCATGCTATACTTCACAAATGTTGTTGATGGATAATAGTAATATAACAGTAATACTAGTATAGCAGTCATTTCAAAATGTATAATGAAAAACTTATGAGAATGTGGTTGTAACCTTTGCTTCTGATTAATTTGCAAATCAATTTCTTTTCAATTGCTATGTGGTGTTGTATTTATGAGTTCAATTAAAGTTTTTCTATCTCTCTTTTTATTGCACTGTTTCTTGGTAATGAGAATTTGTTTTGTACTACTAAGTTTTGTCCTGATATTTTGATAGTTACAGTATGGATTTTGTGCGTACATGTCTATAGTTGTATCTTTGATGTTTGAAAACAAACACATACGCAAGCCTAAGTTCATCGTTTTAGATGATTTTACTGGCAGTTTTTCAATGGATATCAAGTTGAGATACTTGTTGTCACCTGCAACGGCTAAATTCAGATATCATGCAGTTGTAGCATAGCAAGCTCAACAATGTAACTGTAATGTACATGGTATAAACTATATTATGTTAATATTTAATTTAATGATGCTTCCTTTTATCGGATAATTCAACTACACCATAAAATTAATTTTTACAATATTGGATCTCATTAGTACGACAATGTTCAGGAAATGCCTAGTATTAACCTAAGGGCTTTTAGAATCTTGGTCAAGCACAAACTGTTCTATATTATTAACAAAAGTACTTTTAAAATTAATTAAACATAAATTGTTACTCAACAAAAATATTACTATTTTGACAAATATTTACTTAAACTTTATTCTAAAGCAAATAGATTTTGAAAGCTTGGCCAAACAAGCTATTAGTCAACAACGCATGGAACCACTACACAGTTATAGGCTTATAACATATTTCTTTTAGCAGCAAATGAAGAATCATTGATTACATTGGGAAGAACATTATAAAACAACCACCCATACAACAAAAGACAAAAAGATCAAAAATCCTGTCAGTAACAGATTGCCAGCCAGAGTTGCAGATCTTGGAAAACGCTAAAGAAGTTTGTGTTTGGAGTATAGAATTGCTCCCAGTTGAACTATCAGCCTAACAGTTGAGCTCTACCAATGGAGTTCTTTCATCAGTTTCTGTTTTGGCAGTTGATAAGGGAGCTCTAGAATGGTGGTCTCTCCCTAAATTACTATGTCGACGCTTTTTCTCTTCCTCAGGGTTCTCCAATATTTTCTCCAAATGTCTTACAAGTTCAACATCTTCACAGCATAATTCACTCATTCTTCCATGTATTCCTTGCATTTGTACTAGTAATTCCTCCCTATCAACAAAGAGTTTCTTATTTTCTTCAAGCGCATCATTTTTGTGGGACTCAAGTTCCTGAATTTGGGCCTCCAAGTGCATCCGTTCATTGCCAAAATGAGTGTTCAGCTCTTCCGATTCCTTTTTACTTTCTTGCAACAATGTTTCCAGCTGCCCCTCCTTCTGTCTTGAATCAGACAAGGATTTATTTAGGAGTTCCAATTTCTGATGTTTATCACCCAATTTCAGCTCTAACTCGGCAATCACCTTGTTTTTCTCTTTAATCTCAAGTAATTTTAAACCCTCAGCCGTTATCAGAGCTGTAAAAGCAACTTCTTTACATGTCATATCTTCCTCTAAATCTTTGGCCTGTTTGAGATTATCTTGTATTTTCCTGTCTTTCTCTTTCAGATTCAGCAAGAGGTTCTCCTTCTCCTGATCAAAAGCCTTCCGCACATCTGATTGTATTTGCTCATTCTGAAGGTCTTTATCAGCCAACTTTTGCTCCAAGCAAGAAATCTTAGTTTGAAGAATTTCTATGGTGTTATCCTTGCCTTCTGCAATTTGATAGTATTGAAGCTTCTCCTGATTTAAATCATTCACTGCCTCTGTTCTTTCAACAATCTTCAACTCTGCTTCTGTAATCTGTTGCTGTAGCTCATTAATTTTGGCTTCTCCCTCCTTCAAAATCCCAAGTAAGATCTCCTTCTCTTGCTTTTGGGAAAATTGGTTCTCTTCAAGGTAGTCTTTAAGATTTCCTGCTTCAGCTTTCCACTTCTCTAGTTCAAGTTTGCTTTCTTTGACTTCTTTCCTTGCTTTGGCCAGGTCATCTTTAGCTTCTTCTGAAGCAGCAGAAGCATCTTTGAGAGCATTACCCAATTTCAGGACCTGTTCTCTGAGGTGAACTTGGCAATCAGATGACTCTTCAAGCATCTTTTTGTACTCACTCAGTTCTGCCTCTAAAACGGTTGCTTGTTCATTCTTTTGATGTACTAGACTTTTGCTATTTGGCTCTTGTTCCGTGTTGGCTCTAGAGAGCTCCTTGCTACCAGTATGAAATTCTGATTTTAAAACCAAGATTAAGACAGATATCTCTCCAGTAAGAACATCACATGCATCACGGCGATCATCCAGCTCCTTTTCTAGCTCGTCTATGTGTTTTTCTTTACTTTTTAACTCAGACATGCATCTTTTCATATCTTCTGCCACTTTTCCTATCTGTGAGCTCCATTCAGCTTCCTTTTCTTTGAGGTTTAAGGAACATTTCTTGTGTAATTGCTTCAAATGCTGGAAATTGCTTTGCAGTTTCTTAAGTACAGAAGTGGAAGCAGTACCCTGGAGTTGAGACTCTTGAAGCTCTTTGAGAGATCTTCGTAAATCTTGATTTTCCTGTTCAAGCTGTATACTTTTGCATTTTGTATCCTTGAACAGTGCTTCTTTTGTTCGGAGTAAGTTTCTTAACTCTCCAATTTCTTCATCCCTCTTGATGGTCAAGTTCTCAAGCTTTGAGTTTGCTTCTTGGCACTCTAAAGAGATATCATGGAATTGAGATCTAAACTCAGACACTTCAATTTCCAGAATTCTCTTTCTGCTTTCTTGATGAGCTAAAGCTTGGTTACTCATCCTCAATTGGCTTTGGAGGTCTTCTGAGATTCGAGTCTGAGAATCCAATCTTGCTTGCAATGAAGAGATCTCTTCAAGCATTGCTGACTTTTCCTGACCCCACTCCACCTTACTGGTTTTGAACTGATCATGGTTTCTTTTGTGAGCTTCTTCAAGGTGTTTAAATTGTTCACTCTTCCATTTCAACTGATCTTTCGCGATCCTATTTTCTTCATCAAGTTTTTGGATAATGGCATCTCCATCTTTCAGATCTTTGGATGCCCTTGTTTTTAGCTCTGATTCAACACAGATTTCCTGCCTAACTGACATGATTTGCTTAAGAGCATTGATTTCATTATTACTAGCAGATATCTGCATTTCCAAATCTTGAATTTTGGATGTTGCTTCATCCAGAGCCAACACCAAATCCTTGTTTTGTACTTCCAACTTCCCAATTTTCTTCCCATAATCTAGTTGCAGCTTCTCATGAGCAGAGCTAAGATTCTGGAGACATGTTTCTTTCTCATGTACAATGGACTTGATATCATCGTAGAGTTTCTTGATCTCAAATATTTCCTCAGATTTAACAAATAGTTCATTTTCCTGTCTACCAATCTCCAACTTAGCTTCTTGAAGTTTCGATAATTGATCAATGTGGGATTTCCTCAAACTCTCCGTCATCTCTGTTTTGGTCCGGCATTCTTCTCTGAGCTTTTCCACCTCGCCTTTAACAACATCTAGCTCCGCATAAACTTTGTCCATTTGTGTAACTTTTTATGTTGATGATTACCCTTCTGATGCACAAACACGACAGTTCACACGTAATAACTTGAGCTCCATAAATTTTCTGTGTTGTTTTTCCTTGACATTAATCTGCTTTAGCTGAAAGGATTAAAAAAAAAAAGAAGAAGCTATTTTACCATCCTTGAACACTCTTCCAAGGGGAATTATCAATCACAGACAAAATAATGCTTAACAGAAAATTCCGCATGTAGAACCATTAACGTGCAATCGTGTGCAGATTAAACAAGCAATAGACAAACAAAGACATAACTATTTATCCTATTCTCCGTCTCTCAAACTGTCTAACTGGAGTCAACAATATGAATGTTCTTCAACATTTCTTCCCTTTCAAAAGCTCGTATATGCGGAATTGTCTGTATCATCACTCCTCTTACAAAAATGGAGAAAATAAAAAGAACTTCTCAATACCCTTACTACCATATCGATCACGAAAGAAAAATTGCACAATAATGAAAATCTTGAGGTTTAACAAAATTTTACAGGACACCCACGAATTAATTGACCAAATCAAACATTTCATCATCCTTTTCCCCTGATTTCACCCTTTTTTTCATTTATTGCAAGATAGCCAGATTGATTAGGAAAGAATCAGGAAAATCTGGAGGTTTAACTAAAATTCCACGAATCGATTGACCAGATGGAGAAAAGGGGTGGACATAAAATTGAAGATACAGAGAACAAAGAGGCATTTCTACAGCAACTGCGGCATGATAATGTAGATTTTTACAGATATATGATTCCATTATCAAATAATTTGACATATAATGAAGCGTTACCTTAAATCGGAAGCAAACCACAGGTGAATTCACCAGTATAATCGGCTGTTTTAATCAAAATATTAGGGTTTTCTCACTGAGGGAGATCTGGAAATAGAGAGGCTTTGAAGCGGGAACTTGTATAGGATTGTTTTTGAAATTTAGAAAATAGCACTGCATATTTGTTTATTCCTTCTTTTTTAAAAAAAATTTAAAGACATTTGTTTATTCCTAAAATAAGAGAGAAAAAAAACATAAAGTCAGAAGTTGTCCCAGATTTTCTAAAAGGCACCTTAACTTTGCAAACGTCCTATCACTCTACAAAAGTTTTGAATAACTTAGTAAAGAGCTATTTTGACCCATATCCCTCACCTGTGACAACGCGTGTGATGCTCACTCTAGTTCAACCCGATCCACTTCATTTCAAAAATAGAAAAGTCTTCATCTTTTGTTATTTCTCAACTTTCGAGAGTCTCTTCGTTTCCCAAGTCAAACGATAGTGGTGATCATCTTTCTTTTTGACGTTTCTTGGTCAATATTCTTGGAGGAACAAGGAATTGAAGGTCTAACAGGTTAGGATTTTCTTACATTATTTGATAAATTTTAGGGATTATTATAGTGTAAAGAGTGTTGGAATCGACAAATTATAGGCTTTATTGTTAGGATTTTATAGTGTTTCGTTGTGTTATTGACTAATTGCTACTGTTAGGATTTTGTGTTATCGACTTAGTGCGATTGTTAGTAATTGTGTTTTGGGTTAGGGTTTTGTTTTATCGACTTAGTGTGACTGTAAGTGATTGTGATCTAAGTTAGGATTTTGTGTTATCGACTTAGTGCGACCGGTAGTAATTATGTTGTACTGTAATATTATACATTTGTAGACTTCAATTTGTTCATTATCAACTTGTTTACAGGTCTTTTGTTTTGATAGGGTTTTTGCTAAATGTCAGTGATTCTGCTTCTGTTAGTGATTATGTTTATTGTGTACATATGTATGACTGTGTTAGCTTAGAGTTTGTTAGAGTTTGTTCTTAAAATGTATGATTGAATCGTCTTTTATTTGTCTTGTTTAGGATATCTTTTGTGTTGATAACTTCAAGATGGTATCATAGGGGGAAATAGAATTTGGTCCCCCACCTAAATATATTGGGGTAGAAGTGACAGAATTCCTAGAAGTAGATGTTGATAGGAGTCTTACTTTAAGTTGAGGGACTACATAGATGAATTAGGATATACAATAGATTGTGACTTTTTCATTAAGTATGATGGGTTATTGGTCCTTGTTGATAATGATAAGGTTATATTTGACCTTTTCAATATGATAAAAGATGGGGATGAAATTGACGCGTATGTTTCTCATGGGGTTAATGAACCTAATCAGACCCACTTGAATTAGAGTTTGTCCCCAATAGGAGTGAAAGTGGGATAGGTGAGGAGTCTTTGAATGAGGCTTCTAACCCTAATAATCATCCTCCCTCTTCTACTATTGTGCCTGCTCCTTTTACTTTTACTTCCAACACTCCTAATGATCCTTCTGAAACTTCCAGCACTTCATTTGAAGTTCCTCCTAATATTGTGCCTCCTCCTTCTACTTTTCCTTCTAACCCTACAACTGAGACCTTATTTGGTCCTTCTAACCCCCCCCCCCCCTTCTCCTTCTATTGTGCCTCCTCCTTCTACTTTTCCTTCCAATATTACAATTGAAACCTTATTTGATCCTTCTGAAGCTCCTCCTTCTTCTTCCATTGTGCCTTCTTCATATGATCCTATAATAGATCATGATCCAGGTGATGATGAAGTGAAAGATGAATCAGGATCTGAAGGAGATACAAATGAAGATAGTGAGGTTGACAAGGATGTCCATCAAGAGTATATAGATATAAGGGCAAGCAAGAGGCATTTCAAAAGGTCACAAGGGAGAAGTAGAGGTACTACTTCAAATCAGATTCATGTTGGTGAGAAGGGTCCAGATTTAGGGTATGATGAGACAAATATTGGTATTAGGGAAAGCTTAGTTGGTAAGCTAAGGAGGTGTTGAACCTTACTATCTAGGTGATGAAGTTCCTAGCTTTGAAATAGATGATGAAATAAGTTGGGGGGATGGTGAAGAGGTTGACCAAGTAGTGCATAAACCTGTTAGAAGGAAGAAAACCCCAACTAGAGTTGTGTTTGATGAAACTTGTGAAAAATTTCTTCGGGAATTAGGAGTAGTTTTTGGAAGTGTTGAGAAATTTAGATTGACAGTGACAAGATATACAATCCAAGAAAAGATTCAAATTGAAAAATATGTGAATGTTGCAAAGAGACTTGTCCTTGGTTGTTGTGTGCAAGTGATGATAAAACTAGCGTAGATTTCATAGTTTAAAGATACAACCTTGTTCATATATGTTAGACATCAACTTTTAACTATCTTTGCAACTCAAAGTTTCTGGCCACCAAACATAAAGACAGAATAACTCAACAGTCAAACATCAATATTGTGTTGCAGGAGATTATTAGAAAGGAGTTGGATATCCATGTTGGTATGAAAATAGTGAGAGCTAGGCCCAAAGTGTTACAAGAGATCATGGGTGATCATATTGTGGAGTATGGTAAAATTTTTTTTTATAAAGATGAGATTTTAAGGAGTAATTCAGGAAGTACTTGTGTAGTCAAGGTTGGAGAAGAAGATGAAACTGGACAAAAAATATTTCAAGGATATTATGTTTGCTTCCATGCTTTAAAGAAAGCATTCTTTGGAGGTGCTAGGAGGTTTATTGGTTTTGATGGATGTTTCCTCAAATGTGTGTGTAAAGATCAGTTGTTAGTGGAAGTTTGTAGAGATGAACCAAATGCACCCTATTGTTGGGGCAGTTGTTGAGGTTGAGAAGAAGTTCATCTGGACATGGTTTCTTGAACGAGTGAGGAATGATCTTGATCTTGGAGAAGGGCATCAACTATCTGTCATTATTGATATGCAAAATATAAGACCTTTATTGTATTACTGTTTTATTGTCTTTTTTATGTTTGATTTTCAGTTTTGCATTTTAATTATTATTTTTTTGTTTTGTTGCTTTGTTAGGGACTAGAAATTATTGTTCAAGAGGTATTGCCAATGGTTAACAAAGAAAATGTGCAAGACATGTTCTTGCAAATTGGTGTAAAAGCTGGAAAGGAATTGAAAGAAAAGTATTTTGGGGGATTTCTAAATCCACATTTGAAGCTGAGTTGAAGAATAACATATAGGAAATGAAGAAACTTGGAAGAGCATGTTTGGATGATCTTTTATGGTACAACTTGGATACATGGCGCAAGAAATATTTTCACGACAATAACAAATGTGATGTTGTGGACAGCAATATGGTAGAGAGTTTTAATGCTTTGATACTTCTTTTAAGGTATAAAACAATCATCACAATGCTCGAGGAGATAATGGTGAAGATGATGAAAAGAATTGGTAATTTGAGATTGTTCTCAAACACTTGGATCACTATATATCTCCTATGTCTTTGAAGATTTTGCAAGAAAATATTGACAAGTCTATGCAATGAAACTTGTCTTGAAATGGAGAAAAAAGTTTTGAGATTAAGCACTATGATTTTACACATATTGTGGACATTGTTAGTCGGAGTTGTAGTTATAGATCTTGGCTGCTTAGGGGCATTCCTTGTCCTCATGGTGTTGTTGTCCTTTATTACAATGAGTTGGAACCAATCAATTATGTGGCTAGTTGTTATAACAGGAAGACCTGCCTCAGCACATCTGCAAAGCCAACAACGGGCACAGTCGATCGTAGATCCCACATGATGCCCATTTTATTCAACTAATGAATAACATGAAAATGTGGCCAACATCAAATAATCTAATTGTAAAGCCACCAAAGATCAAGAAGATGCTTGGAAGACCAAGTAAGGTTAGAAGAAATGAGGCAAATAAAAGCAGAAAAACTGGAAGCTTAGAAAAATTGGTGTTGTTATGACTTGTAGCAAATGTGGTACACAAGGACACAATAAAAGAGGATGTCCTACAAGAAACCAAGTTGGTCCAAGTCAATCAGCTGAAACATCTTCTCAGGCAGAGGTATTTTCAATTTTTACTTTCTATTGTTATATCTATATATACCGAAATATCAATATATAGGCTATTGTAGAGCAATGGGCATAACGAGAGGCAGTGGTCCAAGTTAATCAACTGACACATTACTTTCAAATGTAAGTTATATGTACATGTATATACAGGCTACTGAAAGAGCATGAGGTAGAGCAAGG